AATGATGTATTCCAACTGAAATAAATGTTAAAGTTTCACTTACAAATGCAAGTGTTCCAACTGAAGTATAAAGAGTAGGTCTTTGATTTTCAGGAACAGAATACCAATGATGATGTGACATAACTGCACCAGTTACAAAAATAGTTAAAATTCCTGACATTTCTAATAATTCAGCAATAAAATAGCCAAGAAATGCAACACATAGAATTAATACCAAATTAAAAGTACTTGAAATATTGATTCCTTTCATTTTATTAAAAATAAATGCTGAAAAATATGAAACAAATAATCCAATAGCACATGATCCAATAGAAATAACTAAAAATTGAACTATTATTTTTACTAAAGACATCCATCCAAATGATGTTCCTGTTCCATCTAATGTATGAAACAATACAATAGAAACTGCATCATTTAATACTGATTCTCCAAAAACTAATGAATATAATAATGGGTCTACATTTAATTCAAGAAATAATGCAAGTGTAGCAACAGGATCAGTAGCACCAAGTAAAGTACCAAATTGAAGTGATTGAGTTATATTTAAATTGTTTTTACCAAGTCCAATAAATTTAATATTTCCTAAAAACGTATATCCATATACCCCAAATCCAATTATCAATGATGAAAGAACACATCCCCCAATTGCATACGATAGAATTGGAATAATATTTGCAAAAAAATTCCTTTTTTTCATTGTAAACCCTGCATTAAATATAATACATGGTAAAAATATTGTTTGAAATATATGTGCAAAATGAAGTGCATCTAATAAAAAATCTACTCCAATATAATGTAATACTAAAAGAACTAATCCTACTATTACACCTATAAATAATGATACTATTGATTCAGATAATATATGTAACCATGGTATTAATCTTACTATTATATGAGACATTAATGTTATTATTAATATACCTACTATTAATATACCTACTATTTCATATATCGACTTTCCTTCTCCTTCTTCACTAACACTTGAAGTAACTGTCATCACTTGTTTGTATTTTGTTTATTTTTTTAATTCTTTTTTTTTTATTTAAATTCTTCTTTAAACCCCAAATTTTTCTTTATTTTGATTCTAAAAGAATTAGATATTTTTTTTATTCCTCTTAGAAAAGAACTGCCATTTGATTTGAATTACAATAATCCTTTCTATTATAAAAAATTAATTATAATATTATTCAAAAGTTACATTAATTTATATTTTATTATTATTTATTTAGTTTTTGGTTATTTATCCTAACTATAAAATTCTTTCTTTTTTTTTTGTTTCTTTCTATAATACCATTTTTGTATTTTATTTCAAACACTCTTTTTTTGTTAATTGAAAGATTTTTTTATCGTTAGTTTCTTCAAACTAACACATTCTCTTATCTTTTAAAATAAAGGTTTTATGTTTTATCACTTCTATTGATTGTATCTTGTTATTGTTCTAAAGAATTATAATTGTTTTATTTCATTTTTAAAAGTGATATTGAAAAAATATTTTAATATAAATACTATGCTAAGTTTTTATTTCTACATCTTCTAATGATTTAAATATTCTTTTTTTGATTTAAATTACTATTAATAGAATTATTTTTCATAAATTCTAATTCCAAAAAAAATTATTATTCGTTTATTAAAAAAGATATAACAAAAGAATAACTTACAATTTGGTTTTTTCACCAAATACTGTTTTTAAGTTGATTCAAAACATCTTCTAAAATAAGAAAAAATTAAGTATTAAGATATAAAAAAGTTTATAATAAAACTATGATAATTTATTTGATTTAATTAACTTAATTTTTTTATATGAATTTTATTAATTTTGTTTGAGTTATAGTATTAAGAAATTTTTATTTAATTCACTGTTATCTTCTTTAATATAATTCTTTTTATCGTAGATTATATTCCTTTAATTTCTTTTTTTTTCAATCATTTAATTTTTATTGTTATATATAACGTCATTATATCATTTTTTGATTGAAAGATTTAGATTATTTTGTTGGGGAAATAAGAAAAAGATAATTTAAAATAAAAAAAACCGATAATCTTAAAATAAACAATAATATATTTAAAGGTTGGATGTCTTATGAGTATATTACATTTGAAGAAGTTTGATAATACCGTTTCTAAGATTAAATAAAGAAAAAATATTCATCAGTTAAGGCGTTATTTTCTATGTTGATATTCTGACTGGTGTTTTGAAATTTTTTTGTGAAAAAGGAAAAAGTGAACAAGAAACAGAAAATAAGTTAAAAATATTTTTTAAATTCTTTTCTGGGAGTAATAGAATAATGGATTTATTAGAATGGGTTATTAAAAAAGAAATGAAAGAGACTCAATCAATAAAATTAATGTTTAAAAGAGTCTGTGTATAATACAGTCATTAGAACATATATAGAATATGATATTAAACAATAATTAGTTAATCTTATTGAACCAATTATTCTTTTAATCAATAAGAATAAAATGATGTCAATTTAATGGATATTTCTCAAAAGATTACTTGTAAAGAGCTAAAAAAAATTAAAAGAATTAATGAAGTATTTCATTAAAAAACTCCTTTTGATTGATTTCCCATCGTTTGTTAATTGATTTTATATCTATCACAGTAAAGAAGTATTCTAATCTTTTAGTAGTTTTATTTCATTTGTCTCAGAGATAGCAACTGAAATCACTGAATATTTCCCAGGAGAGACTACTAATGTGTTGATAGATTTATTATTGAAACGATCTCTTTGTTCAGTTCTTGTTATAACAATCCCTAAAGAAAATAAAGAGTTTGTGTGTATGACCATCCAACTATCATTAATCTTCAAATGGGTTCTTGATGGTCGGTGTGATGTTGATTGACTATGGAAGCAAGAGTTTAAACGATTTACCCAAACAAGAAGTATATTAGTTTCTAATTGGTTAATAAATTTATTTACTGCGAACAGAATGAAAAGCTCAGATATTTATTTGTGTCTGTTCCCGTCAATTTTTCAGAAAAAAAGAAAATAGTATTAGAAAATACTAGTTTGGTCATCCCTTACCTTAGCAAGAGTGCCGTTGGTAGACTAAAACTAATCAAATGCTTGAAGAACAAGTTACTATGTAAATTGTGTAATGATTAATATAATTTCTTATTTTTTTAAGAAAAAAATTTTAGAATAAATCTGTAAAAAAACCAAATATGAAAATTCATTACGTTAATAACAAATATTCTATTGAGTTTGAATTATTTCATTTAAATAAGTTAATACATTAACTAAATAGATTAGAAGAGACAGAGATAGATGAAGATATGACTGTTGGAGAACTTCGTCAACATATGGCAGCATTGTATTTTGCTAATCCAGAAGAAATAAAATTATCAGAAAAGAAAGTTTGTTATTTTATATCTTATTTCAAAATAAACGAAAATAAATAGTTGTAAATATATAGTATGTTCAGGGAAATAGCTATTATAAAGAATTAAAGTATGACGTGTTAACATTAAAATCACTTGATTTTACTCCTCAATCATTGGTGTTAGTGGAGTCAACAAAAGGAAAAAGTTTGTTATTAAATTACATTTAATAATAACTTTAATCTCATTAATTTAGTTCTTGAAAAGCCTATTGTTGAAACTCAAACAGAAGCTGACCAAATTGTTAGTATTGTGAAACAACAATTAAAGTCACAAGGAATTAATATTAATTGAATGAAAATTTAATAAATTAATTCAACCCACGACACCATCGTAAAATTTCATGTTGTGAATCTTTAATCATCTTTTGAATTGAAAATACTTGTAAATGTCCAATCAATGTATTAACTGCAGTTGCTTCACTTAACGTTAAATAAAATGAATGAGAAAGACATTGAGTAATTGCTTCATCAGTAAAATTTTCATCAAATGAAAATAATAATGAAATAATTCTCGTTAAAAAACCGATATTTCTTCTTAACATAAGATAACCAATTGTTGAAAGACTAATAAAAGCATCCCATCCATTCATTATTTCATTATCGATTATTACTTTAGTTTTTTGTAATTCATTTCTAATAACGGTTGGAATAGCAAATCTGTTTGCATCAAAATATGGTTTTTTATTGAGAATATATCCAAAATCAATATGAACAAATCTATGAGTACATAAATGAAATTTCATATTTTCTAAATGACGATCTCTTAATCCAACAACAAATCCAGCAACAAATCCACCTGAAAGTGAAGCAATTAATTTCATTTTATCATTTAAATCCCATGATGATACTTCTAATATTTGATGGCATTTATTACAAGGAATTGAACTATATAACTCAAATATTCTTCCATCAATACAACAACTTAATTGAGTATGAGTTAAACATAATGAACTCTCATTAGAACAACCAACCATTTCAATTAAACCACCTTCATTAAATGGAATAACATCATAAGTTTCAGCAAATGGTTTAATGATTTCGTTATTAACAATATGAGGAGATGCTTTAAATATAAATTTATTCCAAATACAATTAAAAACATGAAATGATAATTCTGCAGATAAATCAACTCTTAAATCATCTCCTTTTTTATACAAAACTCTTTTTATTTTAATCTTATTATTTAATTTTATTATTAACCCAAATTCAATAGGTGCACAGGTCGTTGAATACTTTTTTATTACTCTTATTCCTTTTAATTCTCCTTCTCCAAAATATGGATTTATTAAAAGGTTCCATTTATATTGAATCATTTCTTGTTCTTTAATTTCTATTTCATTTGTTATATTTCTTATTTCTTCTAATTTGTTTGTTAATAAAAGTGTCGATCCTTCACATTCCTTTTCATAATACATTTTATCAATCCAATTTAATTGATAGTTTAATTCTTCTTCAATCACTTTCATTTCGTTATAATTGTTCTTATTCCATATGATCATATTGACTAAGTTACATTCAAATTCTTTTAAAAACATTTCTTCCTTTTCTTCTTGCGAAGTTTCATATGTTATATATTGTAAAAAGTCATGACTCTTACAAAAACAATAGTTTTTATTATGATGTAAAATCATTATTCTCAATAATACCTTCATTGATATAGACCCTATTTTAACTAATGTTCTAAACAATTCAAATTTATATTTTCCTCTGTCTTGACTTGAAGTGTAAGACAAAGTTAACGGTAAATATTTGATGAATAATTCTTCAGAGAATTTATATAACTGGCTGACCTCTTTCGGTTCTAATGAATCCATAGAAATCTCAAATAAAAAATGATATAAATCAAATTCATTAGATTGAGATTCAGATTGTTTTTCCATTAATACCAAAATAATCAGTTCTCTTTTTCTTATTGAAAAGAAAAAGATTAATTTTTAGTTATAAAAAAAAATAAATAATTTTATAATTATTGAAATAAAAATGGTTGAATTTTTTGTTATTGATGTAGTTTATTCAAAATTATAAGAGTGTATAAATACTGAAATGAACAGACAAAGAAACAGCTAACAACACCCTTCCTAAACAGTAAACAAAACTGTTTAAGTTTCAAAAAGAAAAAGGTGTTTATAAATTTTATAAGTATTTGATTTCTTCATACAGAAAAATAGTACTTTTTCTTCCTTTAAATTTACGTGTATCTCTTAATGCTTTTGGTTAAAAGAAAAGGTACTGAAGAAATTAAAAAAATCACTTCTCTATACGAGTAAAATCAAACTATAAACATTCAATAGTTAGAATTGTTTCTTTTCCCAATTCATAATAATCTTTTATAAGATTTTAATTTTAATAATTTGTTTCTTTTGAATTACATTTAAAGTTGTAGTATAAAAAACTCTTGTCGAACAGTTGATCTTAAGATTGTTAATAGTTTTCGAGAAGTCTCAAGAATGATTTTTATTGATGTAATTACCTTTTGACGGTCAAGTGTTTAACCACATTAAAGTTGTTTTCGATTATTTTTTCAATAAATTAATTATAAGAAATAAAATTAGTAAAAGAAAAACATGAATGGCTGAGTGGTCTAAGGTTCCCATTTTAGGGACTGGTATAGAAAGATGAATAGATTCAAATTCCACTTCGAGCATTTTTATTAAAATTAAAAAATGGAGGTATTCAAAAAATTATATTTTGATTATTATTCTAACATAATAGAGTATGTGCAATATTATATTTATTTTCAACTGATAATATTAATAAATAGATGATTAACAAAAAGAAATAAGAACTGAAATAATTAGTACAAAAGATAAGATGAAATAAATACAACTTGAGATAAATAAGAAAATCAAAATAAAAAAGAAATAAAAATGATAATAATCAATTGAATAATGTTATTTAATAAAATAAATAGATATTATGAGTTAATTATATAATATAATTTTCAGTGATAAATATTAATTAATAATTGTGAATATTAAAAAAAGAATAATAAAAGAATAAATTGAATATTATACAATTAAATAGTACTAATACAATTGATTAATTCGATATAACATATTCTATTATTTATTAATGGTTTTAGTTATTAATTACTTTTATATTATTCTAATAATGAAGAGTTATATAAAATTATTAATATATATAATTAGGTATTTCTTTGTATCACTTTCTTAATATTTCATTATTATATCATTTTAAAGTTAGTTTTAATTTTATTTCATTCTTTGTACTCTTTCTTTTTTTTCTTTTATTTGTATTGGAAAACGATGCATTACAAGACACCACAAAAACTAAAATCAATAATAAAAGAATGACAAATCAATATCAATCATGAAATATAAATGATAGAAGAATGTATGAAAATAAGTATTATTTATATTGATAGAATATAATAGCTATTATAATAATAATAATCATCATAACAATTATCATACCAATTTCTTTGTAAATGGTATGAATCATTTCACTCATCATTTCTTTCTTTTTCATTATCATAAGTATTTTATCAATAATTCAAATAGAAACACTCAGTATTATAATAGAAATAAATCACATAATAAAACAAAAAGTAGATTGATTTCAATGAATTAATATAATTAAATGAATGAAAAAGTGATATAAATAATGTATTTTGATTTGTAATAAATGAATTAAATGATATTTAAATGAATTGAAATAAATGTGATGAATGTATAAATGTAAATTGTATATTTAATAATATGAATTTATAAGTATTGAAAGATTTCATCAAATATAAAATTAAATGTATTTATCAATGTAATAAAGATTTAAGAATGAATAATTATGAATAGAATGTATTATTTCTAATTTGCTTTATATTGATATATTAATTTATTGTAAATATTATCTTAATAAAATTAAATCTATTATTCATAT